TAATTTGAATTTTTGGAAACTTTAACTGTGCTGTCGACTTTGGAAAAAGTTATCTCAATTTACTGTGTTGAGTTGGCATTGTACAGAAATTAACAGCCATATTGGTCTATAAAGTTAATTTTTTTTCCATTTCTACAGGGGTAATGCACTGTATTAAATATGTAAGGTCATATCTACGTGGGTTTGATTATAGAAACTAATAAAGTATTCTCTAAAAAATGAAAAAAGAGAATAATATAAGACTACAAGAGCAAGAAGCAACTTAAATATGTTCAAGGACCATTTTCATCTTCAGAATTAAGGATTATTTTAATTTTACATCATTGCCTTTTCTCTTTTACTTTCCTTTTTAGTTTTATTTTAGGATTCCCTATTTTTAATGTTCATATAGAGATTTCTTTAACTGAAATACTGAATAGTTTCTCTGGTGTGATAAACTATAATAGTACACAAGATCCTAATGAGATAATAATGTGAAATAGGAAGTAAAGGGCTAAAAGTGTAGGGAAAGTGGGAAGGGTGGGGGAAAGGTAATAAGGGAGAGGAAAAAAAATATGAGAAAATGAAAAAATGGAAATGAAGTGTTTGTAAATGGGGAAGGGAGGAGGGGGTTAAGGGAGGGCAGGGACAAGGGGAAAAATGAGAATCAAGACCTATCATGTAAAGGTACAGGTTCCCAATAATGAATGTAACTGTATTGTACACCTAAATTGTACCAATAAACTCAATAAAAAATTTTAAAAAATAAAAATATCAATTAGATTAAAAAAGAATGGAAAAGTTTACAACCATGAAAGATAATTAAGTGAAGCCATACATGTCAACACAGATTTGTCTTACAACATGGAATAATACAAGTTGCAGGAGAATAGAAATGACAAGTTTAATACATTTATGTAAGGTTTTAAAACATTCAAACCATCTGGCCACAGTGGTTCACATCTGTAACCTCAGTTACTTGACAGGAGAATCACAAGTTCATGGCAAGCCTGGGCAGCTTAACAAGACTGTCTCAAAATAAATAAAGGGCTAGGGATATAGCTCCGTGGTAGCGTGCTTGTCTAATACTGTGTACACAAACCTCTGTGTTCTTTCCTTCAGAAACACTTTCCAGCCTTCAAACAACTGCTATTCTTCCTTTTTAAAAGACACCTCTCATCACAGAGTGGTGGCACATGGGTGTAATCCCAGCACTCTGGAAGTTTGAGGCTGGAGGATCACAAGTTTGAGCCCAATCTGGGCAATTTAGCAAGACTCTGTCACAAAATGAAAATTTAGAAAGGACTGCTGGCGACGTAGCTCAGGGAGAAGGCCCTAAATTCACTCCCTCGTACCACCAAAAATCCATAAATAAAAGACACCTCTTTGTGCTACATCTCCTAAAGTCACTGCCCATTACTGGGGCTCCCTCACAGCCACTCTGGAAAAAGCTCCTGAGTCTGTGCAGCTCAGCTCCCTTCTCCTGCAGCCTTCTTGCTTTCATGACCACCTTTCCCTTGAAACTGATCTTGCCACCTTCACAGGTGGGTTATGCTGACCACCAAATAGACATCCTTGTCCTTGATAGCAGGCTGCAGTGATTTTTTTTTTTTTTCAGTGCAGGTAATGGGACCCAGAGTGCTTCACTCATGCTCGGCAAGCAATCCACCTCTGAACTACAACTCCAGCTGCATTCCTCCTTCTTGAAACTTTATTCTCTACACGCCTTCAGGTTTTTCCTACCTCATTACACTGCATCTTTTCTGTCTTCTCTGCTAACTTGATTCTGGAACTCTTTTTTCCTCCACCGTCTCCCCCATAAGTGACTTCCTCCAGCTCCATGCTTTTTCATTTTATTTTATTTTTATTTTTATTTTGGGTTTTTTGAAACAGGGTCTCACTAGGTAGTTGAGACTGACCTGGAACTCACTGTGTAGCCCAGGCTGGTCTTGAACTCACAGGGATCCTCCTGCCTCAGCCTCCCGAGTGCTGGGATTATAGGCGTGCGCCACCACGCCCTGCTCTCCATTCTTTTTTAAATGCTGGGGATCAAACACACAGACTTGTACATGCTAAACATGGGCTACATAGCCCCTAGTACCGTGGCTTTATATGCATCTCTGTGCTCTGAAATATACATTTATATCCCTGACCAAAATATCCTGGTTCCTGCTTGACAGTGGAGACAGGTGAGCCAAAATCTACAGCTCAGCAGTTCCACTCCTACCACATCCACATGGATGCCCAATAGGTAGTAGGAACGCCGAACTGATCACCCAAACAGTGGTGCTTCTAAGAGCAAAAGGGTGGTTCTGCTAATTCACCTAGAACTAGAGACGTGCCCTGGGACATATGATCACGCTGTATCAGTGCGGCATCTCCATCATAACATTTTTTAAAAAATGAAAATCTCCCATCTGCCTTATAAGTGTCCCTCCCTCTCCTCTCCTCCCATCTCAGTAAAAACCACTAACACCTACCTGTTTCCTCAAAACAAAAACCTAGGAGTTTCGGTGAGGAACCCTGTCATCCTTGATTCTTCCCTTTCTCTCATCTCCCCCACGATCTATCCATGAATTCTGTGACACTGATCTGCCATTGACATGAAGACCCTGCTTTCCCCATTTCCATAGCAAACACCCTGGGCCAACCAACCTCAGACTCCTGCCTGCTAATTAGTCTTCCTACTCCCACCTTCATTCCCTCCAGTCTGTGATCCACTGCAGCCAAGTGAGCTTCCCAGAGCCTAACTCAGATCGTGGCACCCGGCAATTAAAAGCATTCCACGGCGAAGTAATCATTGCCATCGGCAGGAACACAGATGAATCTCACAAACATAAGGTTAAACAAACAAACAACAACAAAAAAACAGGCAGAGTCCTTTGTATAAAGTTCAAAACCAGGAAATACCAGGGTCACCAGAAGGCGCAAGAGTGAGATCTTGTTCTGGGTGCTGGTTACACAAGAGTATTTGGTTCATGAAAATTGTAATTAGGCTCATGTGTAGCTATTTTTGTAAGTACTGGGGATTGAACCCAGGCTTTCACAATGAGTTACATCCCCAGCCCTCTATTATTTTGAGACAAGGTCATGCTAAGTTGCACCAGTTGGATTTGAACTTGTTATCCTTCTGCCTTAGCCTCCCAGAATGCTAGATGTATAAGCATGCACCACTGTGCCCAGCTTGTATGTTACTTTTTTTTTTTTTTTTTACTGGGTTCGGGAAGTATGTTACATCTTAACTAAAAATTTTAAAGCAAAACACCCTTATTCAGCTTCCAGCAGCCTATAATGATTTGTGCAATCTGACTCCAGGCCAGCTCTGAAGTGCTGTCCTTCTGTTATTCTCTCTGGCTGGGTCACCTCCTTTCTACTTCTCCAATGATGCAAGCCCTTTTCTGCCTCGGAATCTTTGTCTGGATATCACTTCCTCCTGAATATTTTCCTTGTCTTTCTAAATGGTCATGTCTTCATACCATCCATCTCCCAGCTCAGATGTTACCTTGAAAAGATTTTTCCTAGTTACACAGTATCACAAAAATCTTTTGAATAGCTTTTATGGCATTTCTCATTCTGTTTACTGTATTTTGCTTTGTTTTCCTCTTGGAAGGAAGGTAACAAGGAATGATTCAAGCTCTGTGATTAATGCTTATTCTAGGGCTTCATCACAGAAGTCGATCTTATGTTTTTGTTTATTATCTGGACCACTCTGCCACCAAATTCAGGCCCCAAAAGAAAGAAATCTTGTGTCTTGTATATTGCCATATCCCCAGAGATTGGTGTCTCGGGCACACAGAAGGTGCTTAGTAAGGACCTGCAGGGGAGAGGCAGCCAGACCAGAGGCAAAGACTCGGAGGCAATGGCAGCACCCTAGGGAGTGAGACCTGGGCACTGGGAACTGAACTAGAGAGGAAGAGAGGGTCAGAAAGACTCAGGGGGTGAAATGGAGTTGGTTGACTAAGTTAACCTCTGGTGACTTCCAGGACTCTCCCAAGATAAAAACCACAGTCCTCAGGGCCAGGGATCTAGCTCAATGGTACACCACCTACCTGGCAAATGTGAGGTCCCAAGTTCGACACCCAGTACAAAAAAGCAAAACCCAAAAAACAAAAAAACACAGTCCTCACCACGTGTGATCCGCCCTGCCAGTGCTCTGCCTGCCGCCACCTCCTCTTGTTCCCCTCTCTCAACCCCACCATCTCCTCTCGGCTTGAGCTTCTGAGCATCCTCCCACCTCTGGACCTCTGCATTTGCTATTCTCCCTCCTGAGACTTCCATGTGCCCTCCCTCACCTCCCTAAGCCCCTGCTCCAATGATGCCTCTTCAAGGAGACCTTTTCTCTCCACTCTGCTCTCCCTACTTTATTTTCTACCACTCTTCTTCTGGAAGCTCCTCTTCTGACACACCGTGTACTTCCTTGGTTCATTTATTTCCCAACTCCTCACTGCTAGCTTCTAAGTGGCACAGTTTCATGCCAGGTCTCTCTGACCCAAGGCACGTGCTGTTAGGCTCCGGGAAGCTGCAACCACATGGACACCCTGCACTCGGCAGGGAGGTGTGTCCACCCACGGATGCCCTGGAACTCCTCACCCACAAGGACACCCAGGCTACTCCCAGCTCGTGGGCTCTCACAGAGGAAGTTGTCAATCCCAGGCCAAGGTACCCCCATTTGCATCCCCAAATCCTCCAGCCTTCAGCTATCAGCCTGTCCCCCACCTCATCAGCTGGCAGGCGCCAGCTCCTGGCAAAGGGGCCAGTGTGTAATTAGAAACTTTGCAAGCTCCCTAATTGCCAGTTCTTCTAAAAAAACTGGGAGGCTGGTGCTATTCTGAGCCTATTCTGAGCCATCCTTCTTGCTGGCTGCCTGAGGCATGTAGAAAGGAAAAGGCAGAGAGCAGGGCCAGACTGCCGTGGAAGTGGCCCAGAGAGAGCTGGCATGTGGCCAGAGACCAAACGTGGCACAGAGAAGTCTCAGGGCCGTCTGCTCTGTAGCCACCTCCCCACCTCCCCTGCAATGCCACTTGCTTCCACCCACACCCAGAACCATGACATCAAACCAGCCAGGCCCATTCAATCTTTATTCAGGTGGCATAAAAATCACTATAAAAACTTTACAAAAGAGCTAATGGGGCCCTTCCCTGCCTTGCTGTCTGAGCTTCTGGCCACAGGAGGGAGACAGGAAAGAGGAAGGAAGGAGTCCTGGCAGTGTCAGCATCTCTAAGGACCAGTGAGGAGACTGGGATGGCAAGGCATCAGGAGCAGGCTGGAGGCTGGCCGATTATACCACCTTCCACCTACAGAAGGGCACAAGGGCCCATGAAGGGGCAGAGGCTGGCAGGCTGGTGTCTGATCCTAGGGTATTGCCCTGTCTCCCAAGCTATCACCATACCTCTCTTCTCCCAGGCAAGGTATTCAGAGACGTGTCCAAATGCAGCCTCTGGCTCTTGTGCCTATAAACGTGGAGGTGCCCCAGGTGATTTAAGGACTGACCTAACTACCTCCTGACAACACTGGGCAGACAGCTGCCCTACCACCCACATTCTACAAGGGATATGCTTTGAGCCCCTTTGGAAGAAATGAAGAGGGATCCTGCCAACAATTCCCAACACCTGCCCTCCTCCCTGTGCACCCCACCCCCGACATCCCAGGAAAAGCTGGAAAAGAACAGATCCTCTCCTCCTCACCTCTCCCAGACTGCCCATGGGCCCTGGCCCCCATCCCACGAAGCTGGTTGGAAAAAGTCACAAGTTGAGAGGATGGTCCGGGTGGGGGACTCAGGATTCTGGTGGCCGCAGCCCCTCACTTGGGGCTGATAAACTGGGGGTAATCCTCCTCCGAGGGGGGCGCAAGTTTTAAGTCAGGGCCGAAGGACTTGTCCCCATAGGGGAAGCCTTTCTGGAAGTAGATCAAGTCCTTGGTGTCCGGGGAATCCTGCTGCTCCTGGAGCTGGGGCTGTGCGCTAGGGTTGGGGTTCCTCACACTGCCCACAAAGAGGGGCAGGCCTGTGCTGTCCTCAAGGACGAAGAACAGGAAGGGGCGGTTCACACTGAAGGAGGAGAGGGACATGCGGGACATGGCTGTGCTGGTGGCCGCAGCTGCCTCCACACCGACCTCGCTGAGCTCCAAGGTGGACTGATGCTGCACACTGGACACCACCAGCCCCTGGTCGGAGATCCCTCGCAGATCCGGGGCCCGGAACAGCTCCTGCAGGCCTGGCCAGGGAAGTAGATGGCTGGTCAGCACTGCCCTCTGTCCCACAGGCTTGCTGGCATCCTGCCAGGGAGTACCTTAAACCCAGACTTCTACTTGATTTGGGGGGAGTACCAGGGATCGAACTCAGGTCCTTGTGCTTGCGAGGCAGGCGCCAGAACCACTGAGCCAAATCCCTGGCCCTCTACTTGATTTCTTGTTTAACCTTTATATCTCATGTCACTTCCTCTAGGGAAGCCTTCTCTGGACTATCTCTTTGATATTCTCTTCAGTTTACTAGAGAAAAGCCCTCTCTCTGTCTGATCACTTAGGCTAAACTGTTAAGCATTGATTCCTCAGGTGTCCACCCATTAAACTGTGCATTTAATGGGCCCACCCCATTAAACGGTGACTAATACAATGCCTGGAAGATAAGAGTTGCTTAGCAAATGGCTGCTAGGAAGATGTGCCACTTTGACAGCATGATGCCCCGGCTTCTCCTCCTTCCCCTGCAGGACAGCCAATGAGGCTCACATACCAGGCTGGGCTCTCTACCCAGGATTCTTCGCCGTGCTTGGTCTCAGGGAGCAGAATAGGTCCCCCTCCCCTGGATTATCCAGCTCATTCTAATACAGAGACCCCAGGGGTTCATATCAAATCCTCTCTCACCCTCTCTCAGCCCCAGAAAAGGCCAGGACACAGTGCCAGCTGTGACTCAGTCCCACTACCAGCTGGAGGTCTCTCCCAATACACACACTGCTCAGGCCCAACCAAGAGTTGTTCCATGCACAGCCTCCTTACCCAGCTGGCTGAGGGTGGCTACCAGGTCCAGCTGGTGTTTCAGATGCAGCTTAGGCAGCCGCACCTTGGTGGGCCTCTCTCGCAGCGAGGGCTGGTTCAGGGTGTCCCAGCTCAGGTTGGCCAGTACTTGGGACACGTTCCACTTGAAATGAGTGGGCACCATGACCACAAAACTCATGTTGTTCTTAAAGGGGAAATGAGCTACCTACAGATATGGCAAAGAGAGACAGCATGAGGGCCAGAAAGCATTCAAACCTAGATGGGGTCCAAGCTAGGTAATGTACTTCTGAGATGGGTGGACTAGGATCTGAGTCTATCCTGATCAGGTATGTGCTTGACCTTACTGACCCTTCACTTCCTCACCTATGGAGTGACACCATCTGTCCCACTCCAGGTTGACAGGTGATCAAATTAGATCATGCTTTTGCACCTTCCAGGAGTGTCTGTATTCCTTGGACCGTGCTCAGTGAATGGTGGGTGTCTCTCTTTCTGCATCTAGCTAGCCATGTGAATAGGCTAAGGAACCACTCTGCCTGTTTCTCTACATGTACAAAGGTTGGGTCACTCGCTTTCAACTAGCATGCTAAGGAGCCACTGCAAAGGGCAGCACCCTCCCTACTCTCTCTTACCCTCATCTGGTGACTTGCAGTTGTGTGTATATGCTGAGACATGGGGTGATATTTATCTAAAGGGGTCCCTGCAGCTAAGGAGTGGGGAAAACACTAGGCTTGAGTGTCTCTTGCAGACACAACTCCCTGAGTTCCAACATAGCACCTGTGCCCAGGCTCCCTGCCAGGGGGACAGCATCAGGTCTGGTGGCCTGGGCCTGTTGCAGAAGGACTGCAGGAGGGGAAGGTCACGAGATATGGAGATGGAGAGAGGGGGCGGTACACAGCCTACAGGGAGGAAGCGACAGGAAGAAGAGAAACTGGGGAAGTGCGCCAGACTATGGTCTCAGGACAAGCTGGAAGGAAGCTGGGACATGGATGCAGGGTGGACTGACCCCATCCACAGCCCCTGCCAGGCTGCCCAAGTGGTCACCTTTCAAAACCAACTACCACTGCTGTCTCGGCCATAGCTGACTGGCCCAGCAATGAATGCCCGGCCAAACAGACCACATTTACGTGAAAAACCAGGCAGGCCCACCTGGGCAGCTTGGCACAGAACTCCATCCATCCAGTCAGAATATTCTATGCACGATGCTGAGAAATATAACACTGGGTGAGAGCTCAGATCAAATCAGGTTTGGGTCTCTGATTTCCCGAACGGCTACACGGCTGCTGAGATGGCCCCGTGTTGCCTTCCAATCCTCACAATAAACCTGTATCACCAGGACTGTGAGTACAGCTCAGTGGTACAGCACTTGTCTGGAATGCATGAGGCCCTAGGTTGGATCCCCAGGACCACAAAACACAGAAAACACAACAGATAAACCCTTATCACCAAAGGTCACCTGAGTCTCAACTCAAAGAATTCTCCTTAATCACGCTCTCTAAACTACCGCCCCCTAAACTGTAATAGTGCTGTGAGCCTATAGTCTCGGGCACTTGGGCGACTGAGACAAGAGGATCCCTGAGCCCAGGAGTTCAAGGCCGGCCTGGGCAACACAGCAAGACCCCATGTCTAAACATAAATAAATGAAACACCTTCCACAGTCACTAACAGAAGACCTTTTTCTTTCCTTCAT